GGGGATTTCCTGAGCTGGGGGGGACTCGGGGAGAAAGGAGGGGACCGGGGGGCACCGAGGGGGCACCGGGGGGCACCGGGGGAGCACCGGGGGGCACCGGACAACACCGGGCGGTACTGGACGACACTGGGCGGCACTGGGCGGGCAGCGGGCAGCACCGGAGGGGCACCGGGGAGCACCGGGGGGGCACCGGGGAGCACCGGACAGTACCGGGGGAGCACCGGGGAGCACTGGAGGGCCACCGGACAACACCGGGGGGGCACCGGGCGGCACCGGAGGAGCACCGGGCGGCACCGGACAACACTGGACAACACCGAGCAGCACCGGGGGGGAACTGGGCAGCACCGGGCGGCACCGGAGGAGCACCGGGCGGCACCGGACAACACTGGACAACACCGAGCAGCACCGGGGGGGAACTGGGCAGCACCGGGCAGCACCGGAGGGGCACCGGGGGAGCACCGGGCGGGCAGCGGGCCCCGCTCACATAGTAGAGGAGGTCGGTCCAGCCTTCCATGGTGATGCACTGGAAGACGGTGAGCACGGCGAAGAGGATGTTGTCGAACTGCGTGATGCCGTAGTTGGGCCCCTCCCAGTACTTCTTGCACTTGGTGCCGTTGGGGCAGATCCGCGCCGGCTCGTCCGTCCCGCACGGGACCTCCACCTTGATCTCGTCTGGGGAGGGGGGGTCCGGGGTGTGAACCCCCCCTCCGTGACCCCTTAACCTCCCCCCGTGTTTCCTGAGCTGGGGGGGACTCGGGGAGAAAGGAGGGGACCGGGGGGCACCGAGGGGGCACCGGGGGGCACCGGGGGAGCACCGGGGGGCACCGGACAACACCGGGCGGTACTGGACGACACTGGGCGGCACTGGGCGGGCAGCGGGCAGCACCGGAGGGGCACCGGGGAGCACCGGGCGGGCACCGAGGGGCACCGGGCGGCACCGGACAACACTGGACAACACCGAGCAGCACCGGGGGGGAACTGGGCAGCACCGGGCAGCACCGGAGGGGCACCGGGGAGCACCGGGCGGGCACCGAGGGGCACCGGGCGGCACCGGACAACACTGGACAACACCGAGCAGCACCGGGGGGGAACTGGGCAGCACCGGGCAGCACCGGAGGGGCACCGGGGGAGCACCGGGCGGGCAGCGCCGAGCAGCACCGGGGGGGAACTGGGCAGCACCGGACAACACCGGGGGAGCACCGGGCGGCACCGGGCGGCACCGGGGCAGCACCGGGCGGCACCGGGCGGCACCGGGCGGGCAGCCGGCCCCGCTCACATAGTAGAGGAGGTCGGTCCAGCCTTCCATGGTGATGCACTGGAAGACGGTGAGCACGGCGAAGAGGATGTTGTCGAACTGCGTGATGCCGTAGTTGGGCCCCTCCCAGTACTTCTTGCACTTGGTGCCGTTGGGGCAGATCCGCGCCGGCTCGTCCGTCCCGCACGGGACCTCCACCTTGATCTCGTCTGGGGAGGGGGGGTTTTGGGGTCTTGGAGGGGATTTGGGGGGGTTTTGGGATGTTTGAGGGTGGTTTAGGGGGATTTGGGGTGGTTTTTGGGGGTTCTGAGGGGGTTTTTGAGGGTCTGTATGACATTTGGGGCATTTGGCAGCCACTGACCACCCACGAGCCCCCCAAGAACCCCCCAGGGGACCCCCCAAACGCCCCCAGACTCACTTGGGATCCCCGAGACCAGCTTGAGGGGCCGGAGCACACGCACAGCCCGCAGCGTCCGCAGGTCGAACTGGGAGCCCACCGAGGCCAGGATGCTGCGGGGACAGCGGCTCGGTGGCCACCGGGACCCCCCAATGGGCCACCGCGGCCACCGAGGGGACAGGGACCCCAAAACATCCCAGAGTGGCCACCAAACAGGGCACTGTGGCTACTGAGAGTTGCCAGGGACACTGACACATCCCAGAGTGGCCAGGGACCACCGAGACACCGAGTCCAAGAGCCACCATGGCCACCGTGGGCCACCATGAGCCCGTGGCCACCTCGTCACAAGCCCCTGTGTCCTTGTCACATGGCCACCAGCCTGTGGCCACCAGGAACCCCAAATCTCTGTCACAAAGCTGTGAGCCCCTGGCCACCACGAGCCCCCGTGTCGCTGTCACACGGCCACCAGCCCATGGCCACCACGAGCCCCTGGCCAGCACGAGCACCAAATCTTTGTCACACGGCCACCAGGACCCCCCCCCGTGTCCCTGTCACACGGCCACCAGCCCGTGGCCACCAGGAGCCCCCAAATCATTGTCACATGGCCACCAGGACCCCCCCAGTGTCCTGTGTCCCCCGTGTCACACGGCCACCAGCCCGTGGCCACCTTGTCACAGCTGTCACAAGCCCCCCCCCCCCCGCGGTCTTTGGCCCCTCCGCCCGCTTTTA